GAGCATTGTGGCTGCGCCATTGGACTGCCGATGCAGCCTCCAAGCAAGCTTTGTGCTCTATCCCTTATGATGGCAAGAATCTCTTCAGGAAGACATTGGAGGACGCCATTAAGAGGGTGAAGGGAGGCAAATCGGGCCTCCTTCCGCAGGGATTTAGACGGAAGCAGCAGTCCTTTCGGCCCGGTCAGGGATCACAGAGGTTTCGGGAGGCAAGAACATACAGACCCGGTAGACAGTTTTCCAGGCCCCAGTGGAGAGGGGCTCAGTCGTCGCTCCTGCGAGATGTTAAAGCAAAAGGCCGCCGACAAGCAATTTTAAAGGTGCGCACACCCAGGTTGCCCCAGTAGGTGCGAGGCTGTTGGCCTTCAAAGGCGCCTGGGTGGCGGAAATAGAAGATGCCTGGGTCAGAACTATTGTCAACAGCGGCTATCGCATAGAGTTCAAGTCTCTACCCCCACCGACTTTCGTAAGCACACTATTACCACGGGAGCAGTTGAAGAGAAGATTGCTGCTCGACTACGTCACGGAGTTGCTAGCAAAAAGAGCTATTGCCCTGGTGCCCCGGGAAGAATGGGGCCAGGGTTTCTACTCCCCCATTTTTCTAGTAAAGAAGACCTCCGGGGGCTTCCGTCCAGTACTGGACCTGAAGAGATTGAATGCCTTTATTCACGTGAGGTCGTTTCGCATGGAATCAGTCCAGACCATTATCTCAGTGGTCCAACAGGGGGACTGGATGATCTCCATAGATCTGGAGGACGCTTATCTTCATGTGCCAATCGCGGTGGGTCATCAGAGGTTTCTTCGTTTCACGATCGCAGGCCATCATTTCCAGTTCTGTGCCCTACCTTTTGGCCTGTCAACAGCTCCGCGAACCTTCTCAAAGATGTTAGTGGCAGTTATAGCTCTGCTCCGGCTCGACGGTGTCAAGATATTTCACTATTTGGACGACATCCTGGTGCTGGGGGGGTCGTGCCAAACTTTGCTGGCCCATCGCGATCTGGTCCTTACGACCCTCGGCCGATTCGGCTGGTTGATCAATGCCAAGAAGAGTCATCTGGTTCCATCTCGGAGGATGGAGTACTTGGGGGTCATTCTGGACTCCAGCCAGAACCGAGTGTTCCTTCCAGAATGTCGGAGAGCAGAGATTTCCGCCTGTGTCACCAAGGTCATCACCTTACAGGCCTTGCAGGCCAGGGACTGTATGGTTCTACTAGGGATGTTGTCCTCTTGTATCCCAGTGGTACAGTGGGCAAGGACGCACATGCGGCAGTTCCAAACGTGTTTTCTGCAGCAATGGAACCACACAGCATTGGGCCAGAAGATCATTATGCCTTCAGCAATGCTAGACAATTTGTGCTGGTGGAGAGTTTCCCCGTGCCTCTCTCAAGGGCTGCCTCTGGGGCTAGGTACCTGGGTCACTCTGACTACGGATGCCAGCCTGCAGGGGTGGGGAGCGCACTGTTTAGGGCATCAGATCCAGGGGCGATGGGAAGGCCCGGTGTCAACACAGTCCAACTGGTTAGAACTGAAGGCCGCCTCTCTGGCTCTGAGGGCGTTTCAACCCCTGCTTCAGCACCAACAGGTCAAAGTGATGATGGACAGCAGGATGGCGGTCTCCTACATCAGAAGGCAGGGCGGGACCAGGAGCCTTCCCCTCCTGTGCCTGCCGAACGAAATCTTCTTGCGGGCCGAGAAGCATGTGCAGGCCTTGACAGCGGCCTACCTCCCGGGAGTGGAGAATGTATTGGCGGATCATCTGAGCAGAGTGTTCCCAAGCAACGGGGAGTGGGAACTGAACCCCAGGTACTTGGAGCCAGTGTTCCGGAAGTGGGGCACACCCCTAGTCGATCTGATGGCGACACGGCAGAATACCAAGCTGCACAAATTTGTATCCAGGCACAGCTGTCACGAAGCAATAGCAAAGGATGCATTTTCCATAATATGGGACTTCCCTCTGGCATATCTTTTTCCTCCTCTACCGTTGGCGCTCAAGGTACTGCTGAAGATTCAGCAAAGAAAAGGAAAAGAAAGGAACGGTAAAGTAAGGATAGGAAAGGTATGGATAGGAAAAGATAGAAAGGAAATGAAAGGAAAAGGTAAGGTAAGGATAGGAAAGGAAAAGTAAGGAAAGGTAAGGTAAGGATAGGAAAAGGAAAGGAAAAGAAAGGTAAGGATAGGAAAGGAAAAGGAAAGGAAAAGAAAGGTAAGGATAGGAAAGGAAGGGTAAGGAAAGGAAAGAAAGATTGAAAGAAAGAAAGAAGATTTAAAAAAAAGAAAGATGTACACATTCTCTATACCTTCTCAAAGAGTAAGGTGGGTCTTGTAAGCTTAGGTACTGTCCATGCAGTTTCTTATAAATATTCCTGCTTGGCTGCAACATTATCCCAGGTTTTTTTATTTGTTGTTATTTTATAATATGTATCTACTGGGAGGTAATCCAGAAAGATCTACTAAAACATGGTTTTCAGCAATGTTGTATTTGTATAGGAAGTTAAAGCTGCTAAAATAATGCAAACCATCTAACCCTAATATTTATTGTAGATGCCTTGATACCGTTTGTACAGTATCTCATGTAGATCTGAAGGCTGCCAGAGTTATGAAAGCTGTCGATCAGAGATACCTCATTGAAGAGATAATACACTGCAGCTCTCTCAGGATAAACCAGAGGCTGCAAAGTACACTCCTTAATGCATGGCAATAATTGTTCCACAAGGTACTCGATTTAAAATAATCTACTGACTATATCAGCAGAGCTTGGCACAGCGTCTCCTAGAAACAGGAATGACGTGCTCCTTTTTAGGCAATGGAGGAGGAACAGGATAGAGAGTCCCACTGCCAGCCTATGATAGGGGGAATTATCTTATATTATATAAAACTGTTTATGAATATTTTGTATTCAGATTTCTACCCAACATATTGAGTTCTGAACCTTATTTCAAATGTATTTCAGGATATCTTTGTGCGCTTTGTTGAAAACAGTCTGCTGTTTACAGAGCACAATGACTGAAGCGGAAATTTACACACACAAGTGAATACATTAGAACAGTAACTCCTCCCCCTCCTCCTTTTCTGCCTGTTATAGGTGCTTCATAATAACTTTTAGCTAAAAGTAAACAGCTTCTACTGTGCTGTCTCTTTAAAAACCTGTACTGCCATCCAGTGTCATGAATGTTCTTCACTGTCCTCCAACTTCCCTGTTTAGATGTGTATCTCTAGCTGAAACTTTTATTTTACTGTAGGGAACAGCTGGAACCCCTGTCAAGCTTTTACTGTTGTTTTCTGTGTCTCCTTGCTGGGGGGAAGGGAGGAATTTGTCTTGGTGACCGTTATCATTGGACTGAAAAGTGATGAAAAAACCCTAAAATTTGACAGTTGTCAATGCAACAAAACGTGAGATGAAATATTGCAATGGGGGCACATGTTCGGGAAATATCTGTACTAAAAATGATTTCAATGGGCTGCCCAATGAGCGACAATTTGTGCCTGCAAAAATGACATGTTTTTTCATGTGCTGCAGGACTTTGCGCAACGTCCTGCGCGTTCCCCTGGAGCACAGATGGAAACAGGAGCTAAATGTTTATTTGCAAAACAAATAATGTATAAAGTAATAATTTTACTTCAGCTTGCTAAAAAAAAAAAATCAATTGCATAAAGTACCCGTTTGAGTGATATGTCTGTGAAGGTTCTCATTCACTCTGTAGCCTGGCATTAGTGTATTTACATCCTTCCTTCCTGTTGCAGTTGCTCATGCAACCACTAGAGGGAGCATAAAGGAAGAAAAGAGGCAGGGTGCTCATTAATGACTTTATTAAGTTGGTTTCTTGTCCTCCCTTTAGCTTCCTCTAATGGTGGCCGGGAGCAGCTACTGCAAGAAAAAAAAGATGTAAACTGCTTCCAAGCTGGAGGTCTCTGTGTCCCAAACTCATTTTTTTAAATCAACAAAACTGGTACCTTTTTCAAATGACCTTTTTGTATCAGGAAACAGGGACAAGAATAAAGGACGAGTGCTGAAAGAGTACATATTCTTTGAAACAAACATTTTAAAAAATTGATTTAAAATTATATTACATTATCTTTTCCTTTGAAAAGAGTACAATATACTTTACTGCTGAATCATGGTGATTACACTCAATGTAGACTCAGTGTTATGAACCCTTGCATGAAGATGATTGATAACGAATGATGGTCATTACACTCTATGTAGACTTAGTGTTATGAACCCTTGCATGAAGATGATTGATAACGAATGATGGTGATTACACTCTATGTAGACTCAGTGTTATGAACCCTTGCATGAAGATGATTGATAACGAATGATGGTGATTACACTCTATGTAGACTCAGTGTTATGAACCCTTGCATGAAGATGATTGATAACGAATGATGGTGATTACACTCTATGTAGACTCGGGTTTATGAACCCTTGTATGAAGATGGGTGATAACGAATGATGGTGAGTACCCTCTATGTAGATTCAGTGTTATGAACCCTTGTATGAAGATGGGTGATAACGAATGATGGTGATTACACTCCATGTAGACTGAGTGTTATTAACCCTTGTATGAAGGTGGTTGATAACGAATGATGGTGATTACACTCTTTATAGACTCGGGTTTATGAACCCTTGTATGAAGATGGTTGATAACGAATGATAGTGATTACACTCTATGTAGATTCAGTGTTATGAACCCTTGTATGAAGATGAATGATAACGAATGATGGTGAGTACCCTCTATGTAGATTCATTGTTATGAGCCCTTGTATGAAGGTGGTTGATAACGAATGATGGTGATTACACTCTATGTAGATGCAGTGTTATGAACCCTTGTATGAACATGGTTGATAATGAATGATGGTGATTACACTCTATGTAGACTCAGTGTTATGAACCCTTGTATGAAGATGGTTGATAACAAATGATGGTGATTACACTATATGTAGACTGAGTGTTGTGAACCCTTATATGAAGTTTTTTGAAATAGTACAACTTAGATACTTACAGCTCTCCTGATCTGTTTCTCTCTTCCTCTCTAGTGGAAATGACTAGTCAGACAGTGTATTGTCCACTACTATACTCGGCTTCTCCCGCGGCGGGGAAGATTTTGTCACGAAACTGGCCAGTGCCTTTTCCTGCAACAATCAAAAAACACCAGTTAGTTTCCACTTAATTTTATATATCATGTGCAATTAAATAACCATCAAATTAAACTGCATGCTGGAATATGGGAAGAGGTCTTGGATTGAGAGACTGCAGCTACATACAATGTTAAGTGGTGGCTCTTGAAATGGAGGCATTTATAAACGTATCCCCAATGCTAGGGATACATTTATAAATGCCCCCTTTGAGAGCCACACATTAATGATTATATATAGATTGCAGGCTAGGAGTAGTTAACTTATTTTTAGCACCAAAGCCCCACACCGAGAACTACCTAGACGAGGCTCCTGGTATCAAAGGCTAGTGTAATCTAAAAATGATCTGTATACTAAATATACACTATATTTTACCTATAGTTTTGAGTTCAATGGTTTTCCAACTCAATATATTCTTTAAGAGTCAGTTAAGTGCTAAATTTGATACCCATCACATGGTATGAGATGGCACTACTTATGCCAATGAAAAGGGTCAAGAGCAGCCTCTCTCAACCATGGTTCTGTGAAACCTTAGGGTTTCTCCTGATGTTGCTAGGAATTCTTTGAGCGATTAATTGATTTTCGATCTACACTGACCACCAAAGTAAGGAGTCACTTCTACACTGATCACTGGTGTTGGACATTTTTTACTGTGCATGTTTCTCTTCTATTATTAATATTCATTTCAAAATTATTACTTAAAATAGTTTTGTTGTATAGAGCAGGAGAATATGTTAAAAAATATCTGCCCTGGGTGTCAATTTTTTTTAGATACAATATTTTTTTTAATTGAAAACTTTTATACAACCTACTAATCACAATAATGTATAACGATTTGCAGTTATAATAATATTCAGCAGGGGTTCTCCAAAACCTGAATATTTAAAGGGTTCCTCCAGATTAAAACATGGAGAAAGACCAGTCTATGGGCTTTGTAAATACTGATTATTGTATTGTGGAAAACAAACTGTTTACTGACATTGTGTTCTAAAACAAAGATTTTCGGGGACCATTTACCTCAACCAGCTGATGCCAGTGTTCAATGGGCTTTCTAGGGTTTGCCAACATCTCGTTCCAGTGTTCTCTGCCAGGCATGTCTGCGTCGCTGCCCACTCGGCACATCCCAATGACTTCATTATGACCTATACTGTAGAAACATACATACAAGTTATACCCCTTTCCATTAGAAAAACCAGCACTGATATTCAAAACCTTCTACCGAATTCAAATTCATTCTCATTTAAATGTTTAATAGATTCTAATAGGCCCTGAACATGGAACGCCAGCATTACACGTAGGGCTCACTTACATTTGTGCAGTGTGTTAATGTGAATTGTAGGGTGCAGGTCCCAGTTTTCAACGAGCTATCTATAGATCCCTCCCACCAGCAATGCCGTGCCATTGCAAAGAGAAGCACAGGAACCCAGTAGTGACATCACTGGGTCTAAAATAAGGTAAGTATTTATTTAAAAACATCAGGTAGCAGGTTGATGGGGGAGAAACCAGGGAAGGCAAAATATATACGCAGATTAAACATCAATGTTAAGGTTTTTGTCAACATCTGGTTATGCATTATGATTTAGAGCAGGGGCAAGCAAAATCTGGCCCTCCAGCTGTGGTCAAACTACAAATCCCATTAGGCACTGCAAGACTGACAGCCACAGGCATGACTCCAAGAGGCAGATGTATGATGGAATTTATTGTTTCACTACAGCTGGAGGGCCAGAGTTTGCCTACCCCTGATTTGGATCATCAGTTGGACCCTTTTGTTCCATATGTACATTGTTGGTGCATTTAGACACTGCACACTTGGCTCTCATGTATTAAAACTAATGGACTGTGCCACCCAGTGCAACACAATACCAGCTGCTATATTTCTATTAGTAGAGATCTAGCAAAAGTCTTTGAGGTTGATAATAGAAAAATAAAATGCAATAATTTGTTCAGATTGCCTGATTATAACTCATTTTTGGCTGATAGATTATTTGTGTCCCCCGTATAAAAGTGTAATTGGGGTGTATCCCCCAAGGCTCTGTCCTTGGACCCCTTCTCTTCCTCCTCTCTTGGTCAGTTAATAACCTCACATGGCTTCCAATACCATCTCTATGCCGATGACACTCAAATCTATTAAATGTATGTACACCAACGCATACTCCGCAACTTTCCCCTCAGTGTCATTGCGTGTCACTAATCTACAAACTGACATATCAGTCTGGATTTCGCAACACTTCTTAAAACTCAACCCTTCAAAAACTGAGCTAATGATATTCCCCCCCCGTGCACCTTCCCCCAACTTTAAACTTGAGATTGTTAACACAACTATCCAGCCCTCCCCCCATGCCAAGGTCCTAGGTGTCATCCTTGACACGGACCTCACCTTTCTTCCCCACATCCAATCACTATCCAAATCCTGCCGCCTTCACCTTCGTAACATCTCCAAAATAAGCTCCTTCCTCACCAAGGAAACCTCAAAATTACTCATCCACTCCCTTGTTATCTCTCATCTGGACTATTGCAACTCCCTCCCCATTGGCCTTCCACAGGATATCCCACCTTCAGTCTATCATGAATGCAGCTGCTAGACTCATTCAACAAACCAACCGCTCAGTGTCTGCAACCCCCTCTGTCAATCCATGCACTGGCTTCCTATAGCCCAAAGGATAAAATTCAAAATATTAACAACCGCTTACAAAGCCATCCACAACTCTGGCCCTGGCTATATCTCCAACCTGGTCTCAAAGTATTACCCTAACGGTCCCCTACGCTCTTCACAAGACCTCCTGCTTTCCAGCTCCGTCATCAACTCCTCCCATGCTCGCCTCTATAATAATAATAATATAGATCTGTTAATCCTGACTAATGCAAACCCATTGCAGCTGTATTTATTATATTAGTGGGCATAAGGAAAGGGGAGGTATCACTAAGGCACAACATTCAGAACTTCTGTATTTTCTCTTATCTTGAATTTGATTCGCCACCTCTAGACATGTGTAGATGTGGATGCAGCTTAGAACTGAAGGGGTCAGTGCAGAAACCGCCAGAAGGAATAGCTCAATAACTTAAGCGTCTCCTATGTCTGTGTAGGTTATTGATTGCTGGATTTGTACAACCCAATGGTATATAAAGCAGAGGACCTATTGGCACCCCTACTACATTCTGGTTTTAATTATTTCTTGACAATCATCCAAAATGATTAGTGACAAAAGACGCAGATCATTATGAGTGGCCACTACTATACATGCATGCCTAACACAGTACAAACACTACATACAGCCGTTATCTCAGAGATAACTACAACTTTTCTTGTCCTCCTTCCACCCTAGTACTATATATATTTTTTGCCATTCTCACATATTTATGACATGTGCAGAGAATACAGTACATAACAATATACAGGTGGCCATCAGTAAGATATCAGGTCAACTGGCTTGGGAAAACCGATCTTACAAGGGTTACACAAACTATTTATTTTTATTTATTACAGGTATTTTATATAGCAGACAATTTACGCAGTGCTTTACATAGTGCACATTCACAGGAGCCAATTAACCTGCCAGCTTGTCTTTGGAGTGTGTGAGGAATCCAGAGAACCCGGAGGAAACCCACGCAAGCACAGGGAGAACATACAAACTCTTTGCAGATAGTGGCCTGACAGGGATTTGAACCATATAATATATGTAATATAATATATTATTTAAACTGGAAATCATTGGCATGCTTGCTCACATGTAGGATATGAGCACCCCATCAATGTTTGTGGATGTAAAAAATACTGAGATGATCAGATAGTTTATCAAACATCTGCTCACTATCCCAGGTCTGTAGCTATGTTGCTGCTGCAGGCGACTTATACGTTACTCTTCAGAAAATGTATGCTTTCCAAAATCTCTGAGTTATAGGACTTAGACCTTCAGGAGTCTATGATAAATCTGCTCTCACTGAACTGAATACTCAGGATTTCTTTCCTGGCTTCCTTCTGTGTATGTCGGCTTCTGATCTATATGTTCAGACAGCATTGTCTGTTTTGATTATTCTAGCTCAGCTCTGGTGAATTCTCCCCATAGGATTGTGCTGTATACAGATAGAGAAATTGTGTTGCATCCTCAAGAAAAAAAATATCTCAGCATGTATACATACAGTATACAAACATATGGTATGATATAAAAAACATGAAAGAAAGAAGTGAAGGAATGTATTTAGTAAAAGTTTCAGGAAGAATGACTTACACAATGTTTGCATGTCATGAATGGACGGTTCTGATTGATCTAATTCTGAAGACTCCAGGTATCCACAGGCTGGGCTAAAAGCCCAACTGGACTTTATGTATTTCTTATTTATTAACTATTGCAGGTATTTATATAGCGCGGACAATTTACGCAACGCTTTACATACAGAACATTCACATCAGTCCCTGCCCTCAAGGAGCTTACAATCTAAGGTTCATATTGCACACACATACAAGGCCAATTTAGACAGGAGACAATTAACCTTCCATCATGTCTTTGGAGTGTGGGAGAAAACCGGAGTACCCAGAGGAAATCCACACAAGCACTAAAATCAGCTAAGCTCACTCAGTGCATCAAATAAAAAAGTGAGCAAAGTCTTAGTTTGTCTCCTCTGAAAAGCAGCAACAGCCTGGGTGAAAAGCCTCTCCCCTGCCAATATGGTATAGTAAAGGTCTCTTTGTGTGGAACCAGTGATCTCTCTGGACAGACACACCCCTTAGTCAGAACTAGAACTCTCCAAATTAGGCGATCCCTTAAGACTCATCTCTTCAGGGAAGCCTATTCCACCTCAACCTAACCACTGAACTATCACTTTCTCAAAGAATTCATCCCCACATAACTACCACCTCATGTATCACTTGCCCTTCCCTTTTAGATTGTGAGCCCTCACGGGCAGGGCCCTCCTTACCATCTTGTCTTGAATTGTCTTGTGATTGTAATGTCTTCCTTATATTGTAAATCGCTGCGCAAACTGTTGGCGCTATATAAATCCTGTATAATAATAACCAGTAGGGATCACAAACTTTACTGCTTGGAGTACTATAGGTCTGCAGCGGATGTGTTGGATTCATGCAGAGAGACCACTGGTATTACATAAAGAGCAAGGGTTTTTCTCTGCAGCCTGATGGCAGGGGGCAGACATTTCTACTCGGGCTGTGAATACTTTCCAAAAAATATGAACTGTAAGACTTTGTACAGCTTTTGTTCTTATGCATCTGGAATGTTTTCAGCTGATTTAAATTAAAAGTTCAGTTGGGCTTTAATTTAAATGTCATTTATTAGAAAACTAGCACAAGAGAAATACTTAGGCTGCCACTGCTGGTGTCCTTCTTAAATTACTGGTTGCCTCTCATTGCTGTTCCTACAGTTTTAATACTTATCTCAGCCACTGGCCAAGAAGTTCTGACTTAAAGTGACTCTAGACTCAGGAGTTAAATCTTCAAAATGCATTCAAGTACCTTAACTATTAACAGAAATGTATCTTATTTGTGTATCACTCAGCTGTAGACCCTCAAATCATCTCTGAATTGGTGCTGACACTGTCCTTCCTTCTGGAGGGTGGCTACTTTTGTTCCCCATGGTCCCTGTGTGTGTTGTAAAGTAGCCACCGCTCCAAGCTCACTCCTGTGATGGATTACAATCTAAACATGTTATTGTAGTGTAGGAAGGACAGTGTTGGCACCAAGTCAGTGATAATTTGAGGATCTACAGCCGAGTGATACACAAATAAGATACATTTTTTGTTAATAGTTAAGGTACTTGAATGCATTTCTAAGAATTAACACCTGAGTTTAGTGTCACGTTAATTGCTGCATACTTGTATGTAACTTGGAAAAGTATTAATGCAATCAGACTGCCAGGCATTTAAAAATTTCAGAAAGAGGGAAGTTTCCTTTATGCTTTCTTCTTGCAGATTCTGTACTTTCTGATGATCTTTCACATGTCTTATGAAGGTGATTCCACCACTAAAGCACCTGCACTCTCTAGTGGTCTGCCCAGAGGAAGACAGAGAATTCAGGCTGGTGACAACAGTAAATTGGTTGAAAAATGAGTTTGGTATTTCCACAGCTGTGGCTGTCAGTGTGAGGAAATTTCATTGGAGTCCTAGATAGACACGGGATCCCTCCAGCCAAAATAGAGGTATCAATATTGAGTGGCGTTACACTTTTAGCTTTGGAAGAATGTTACCTACAATGCTTAGCCAGTCATGCCTGATTCTACTGAGCCATAAGTGTTTTCTTATCTCCACAAACAAATGTAAACAAACATTCAAAATCCTTACCAATCATAATCCATTACAGTAATGGTGAGGCTCACATTGTCCATATTTTCATTAGGAATGTCAAACACTAGTGCCTCGTTATAAGTTGGGTTCAGCGTGTTCTTCTTTATAGATGTCTTCCGCTTTTTTAGTCTCCGGCCCTCACAGATAAGAGAAGCTTTCACGTACGGATCTTAAAGAAAAGAAAGAGAAATATATTTAAATATATTTTCATATATATTGTTATGGAGTATCGCTTTCCAAAACAAATCAATTATTTATCAGTGCTGAGCTATGAGATGAGATGGGGATATATATCCATTCTTGATCTGTCAGTGGCTTGTTCCAGCACAGAGTCTTCAGGCCATGAAATATTCAATATGAAAGTAATAGTCATCTACATTATAGGTCCCTTTCTGCTTTACTGTTCAATAGTAAGCTTACACCATACTATTGTCAATTACAAATGCCACAAAAATTAGCTTACCTCCCAAACTTTCTAGGAAGCCCTTTTTAGAGCAAAATATTTGAAAATGTATTGTTCATACATAATAAATTAGTATTTTATCTTCTTCTTAACTTTTTATAATACTGTTTATATTGAAAATATGTGTTCAATACAGGCTGCACCCATAGCTATGGTTTTGTATTGCATTATAGGGTTCCTTTCAGACTCTCTCTCTCTCTAAAACCCTGTACATAGTCACATAAAGAAAGGTGTGGAGGGTCAACCATTCATTTGACACATTCAGCTATGTGCAATCTGAGCTTCACCTATTCAGATCTATGAATAACAGATTTTTTTTTCTAACAAAGCAGTTAATGTTAGCCTGGTAAACATGAAAAGGAGTTTGGTAAATTATAAGTATATTATGAATACCTGTATCATGTAGGAGGTGGCACTTACATCTTTTAAGAGACTGTATTAATCAATTGATAAAGCAGTAAATTCCTTTTAAATAATTTTTTACATTTTTTTTCCCGCACATATACATGTAAAAGAGATCAGCTTAAATGTTATTTTTATTAGTGGCATTCATATTTTTAAATCTTTGTTTCATTTGTAAGATGCTGGGTACATATGCAGACTCTGCTTCCTGCTTTTTCAGTGCTGCAGAAAGGTGTGCTGGCCCATTAAAAACAATGCACTTCCTATGTGGCTGATATCTTATTTCAACAGTTAATAAAGGACAAGTTCAGGATTTTTTTGACCCTCCCTAGCCCCCTAAACATACACAGCCAGGCCACCCCCCTCACAGGTGCTTATGTACCTCCTTTAACAGTGGCTTCTAGCATTGTCTGCAACCTGGCTGATAAAAATCTAGTGCCAGGCTGCCCTCACCTGTGCACTAACCTTTTATGGTCTAAAATTGAACTTTGCATCTGCAGTACAAGGATTTCCCATTTAAGACTGGGGGATGCTAGTGGTAGGTTTTTACTAGTTGGAGGACAGACAATGTGAGAGACCACAATCACTGAAGGAAGTATGAAGGCACTTCTAAGCCATTGAGGACTCCTTCTAGTGGCTCCAGGCCCGGATTTCCCACAAGGCCACCGAGGCCCGGCCTCGGGGCGGCAGAGCGCAGAGGGCGGCAGCGGTGACCTTGTGGGAAGTATTGCAACATGCAGCTCCCTATTGAAACATGTAATTTCCCATTGAAATATGAAACACACTCTATCATAACATGCAACACTCTCTTGTAACTAGGCAGATGTCTATTGTAACATGTTGAATTTTCCTTCTATCAATGTACCTCTATTTTAAAACATACCACATTCGTGTGTAACACTGCTGAAGTAAGTCTGCTCTTTACTAGGTACATATGGACCCCAGAAGGGGGTTGTGGGGCACAGGTTGGATGTGGGTCTCCAGAAACAAACCTATGTAGGAGGAAACATAAAGTGATATTTCTGTTTCTTCCACTTTCTGGATTCTAACGTACAATCATAGGATCATACCCTTTTGGTACTAGTAAAGATTTCCAATGATGTGTAGTGAAATAAAAACTACTGTACACACTATGAGGAAAACAGTAATATGTAGCTCACCTGAGAAACCAGTCAGATCCATGGCCTTCAAGTTGGTGGCTTTGATGATAGTGCCAGTAAGGCGTCCAGCAGTTGGCAAGTAACACAATGAAAAGTTTATTTCTCCTAAGTCCGCTTTTTCCTTTAAATACAAATGATTACAATTAATTAAAAAATGTTATACAAAATATCGCATTCTAGTTTTTATTTAATTTTATATTGGTAGAATTAGGCAAGTTTGTCCCAGTTAGAGAAACTTTATTAGTGTTACTATAGGCTGCTGTGAGAGTTATCTATCTGTCTTCCCCCATGGTGAAGTATAATAGAGGTAAATTAAGAAGCAGATGAGCCCAGGGCTCTAATGGAAATAAAACCTTTAGTACTCTAAAACGCAAATGTGAATATTTTAAAAGAAACATGTTGCAAGTTATGAATGGCTGTGTGCTAGCCTGCTCAGAGATTCTATTTAAATAAGCAATTGATGTAAATGAAATGGTTGAAGATGTAAGCAGCCATACCAGCATAAGTTAAAGTGTATTTATAGGCAAATTTGTTCTGTTTTAGAGAGAGTCGGGAAAGGTGAAAGTGACACTAAATTTAGGTTTAGATTTTTAAATTTTAAAAATTCATTCAAGTACTTTAACTATTAACAAACTTGTATCTTTTTGTGTATCACTCGACTGTAGATCCTCAAATCATCTCTGAATTGGTGCTGACACTGTCCTTCCTTCTGGGGGGTGGCTACTTTTGTTTCCCATGGTGTCTGTTTGTGCTGTAAAGTAGCCACCGCTCCAAGCTCGCTCCCATGATGGACTACAATCTAAAAGTGTGATTGTAGTTTATCACGGGAGGTCTTAATTGTTACCGGAGTAGGTGACCCAATTTGAAGGCTTCTCATCACCTCTTCTTCTGGTGAGAACTGTAAAAATTTGAATTCTCATCACTTTCTGTCTCAGTGACAATGGTCACCAGGAAAGACAGAGAGGGTCACATAGAGCAACAAAAACCCCACCATAGTCCTAACCAAAGTAAAGTTTCCTTTGCTGTATGTTCAGATGTTTGCTCAATTTATCACAAAACTACAATTATGTTCCTGCTGAAAAAGCATTAGGAAGTTATTTACAAATGAAATGAGTAAACAGGTTAAAAAACATTTAGGGCCCATTCACATCAGGGCCGTGTGTTTAACCTGGAGTGAACAGATCCTTATGTAAGAATGGTAAGAATATGTTTTACAAGTTGGCAAAGGTAGTACCTTTTTTTTCTGGGAAAGGATCACACACCTGTCAGGTTTTGTTGGGGCAGTTGTACACCAAACAAAGGGTAATGGAAAATCTTACAATGGGAACACCTGTTCCAGGGATAACTGTCTAAGAGGGGAATTTCCAAAATGAACATTCTGTTACATCTCAAGGAAAGGAAGTGAAGGTAAATTTCCCCAATGGCACACAAACAGCAAGAAAATATACTGGAAGGGATTTTATCCCTTGTATACTTTATCCAAAGCTAAAAAAAAGTTTGGGCTTTACATACACTTTAAGATTGATAAAGTTTTACTATAAATTCATAAGGGTTAAATAGGGGGGTACAATATCTTAATTTTCAATTTTTGGGGGGCTTAACAATTTTGCTACGGCTCCCGTTAGAAAACTATCAGAAAACAAGCCTTGATTTGCAGCCACAGGTGACATTTTATCAACTCACAAACGTAAATTGAACACTCACTGCAAGAAGATCTGCAGGCCCTAATGCATGCAGTAAGCTCAGGTTCTACTGAGAGCATCGCCGCATATAGTTGTTTTCACTCAGTTTGCATAGCTTTCTTCTGGAGTGTTCCTATTGCCCAGTAGAGATTATCCTGGGCTTGGTGCAAATCCAGTTTGTCTGAGTTGGCTCAAAAACTGTGACTGCCACCTCCTCCTCTAAGCCCAATCCATTGTGGAGAGGCAATTTCCTCACCAAGCAGCTATACGTCCCTCCTGACCCAATCAATGGCAGCAGTTGGGGCTGGTGGCATTCCCTGCCCCTTTGTGACATGTAGCTTGGGGTGGGGAATGCCCCTGAGGCAACTTATTGGGACGGGAGCAGGGGTGTCGTTCACAGTTATGGGTGGGCTTGGGAGAACTCAGGTGAACTAGGTTCGCACAAAGCTCCAGCTCAACACTACTGTTCAGAAACTAACTGGTGGAATACAAAATTACTAGCATATACAAATTGGCTAAATGGTTAGAATTCTTGCCTTGAAGTATCAGAGTTTTTGGTTTGATTGTCATCATGTTTTCTCCATGACTCCTTAGTGTGCTACAGCTGAGCAGGACTGAACACAAACAAGGAAACTTTTGCTTCGAAACTACAGTTGAAGATTTCAGTACTTTGATTAGTATAGAGCATAAAGTATGGAGGATACATTTTTCTCACCACAGGTAAGTATGCACCTGTCAGGTTGCCTAAAGCATTGATGGTTATGCTTAGGGACAAGGAGAATTAGGTGAAGCAGAAAAGGAGACACTCAGCACCAGTTTGTCTCCAGAGAAACAGCTCTCCAATCATTCCTCCAGGTAATGGTCAGCCTGTGTTATATGCTTGTGCCACAGACACAAGACTGATGTCCAGATATGTCCCAAAACTGGCAGATAGAACAAACCCATCAAAGGTCTGTGGTCAGCTTTAGATGCCTTGCTAGGCAGCAGGATGCAGCAGGAAGGGGGTATCACATGCTGAAATGCAAACTAACTGCCAGGAGTGTCAGTTAGTTAAAGCTGAAAATCTCAAAAACTCCTCAAGAATGTTTTCAAAAACTCTCCTCTTGAAACAATACTGAGGTGATAGATCTTTCTTAACTGGCTTCTCTTCATACTGTCCCTAATGTTTGGATTTGCATGGCTGCGGCAGTCCTATTCAATTGTAAGCCCAGGAAATACTTAATAGCGCAGTGTCAAATTTTGGTGTAATATAAATATGGGAATCAACACACTGCAGCTCTACATTATTTTAGCAAAACAGCTACTCATTCCTTGGCATGAAGGATCTGTTTTAGGAGAACATATATCAGATTTATTTTTATGTTTTCCCTGTCTGTTTTCTGTATCTGTAGCCAGTGTTTTTGTCTACGTTCAGCCATGTCCCAATTCCAACCTGATAAATATGTATGGCTTGTCAGAGCCAGCGATCTGTGGCGCTACAAATCCATTTGTGATGAGAAACAAAAGCTGCGAAGCTGCCTTGTCTTGCTAGACACATGCTCACAACAAAAACTCAAACACATAAAAAGGAACACAAACCCACAAAAAAAAAATCCTAGGCTATATGCGGGCAGCTAATGCAAATGCCTGCATGCCTTGCAGAGGCCCCAGGGAGACAATTTTCCAGGCCAGTGTTCTTCTAATGAAAAAGCTTATCAATTCTACTTTATAACACTGGGAGGAGAGGGCTGAAATGGAGAACGGAAAACACAAATTGAAAGGGGTTAAGGTCAAAAGATATAATTGTACAGCAGCCAAGGAAACCAAACAATTAACTAATTTACTGCTGTTGGGAGCACAGGACAAAATGGTGTTGATTCACTAAGCTAAGGATGGTTTAAGCATGGCATACATGTGAAAACACAGCCTCTTATTGCCAGAGATGTAGAATGAAAAGAAAAATGAATGTTCTGGGGATGTATACCTGTGCTTACATCAAAATCCTCAAATCCCAGCCCTCACTATACATTATCCTTCTCTTGTGTTTTTCAAAATATATTTAATCTATTTTAGAATTGTTTTATTTTTAGACATGGTTCTAAAGTATATGTATAAACCCTAATTGGATGCCATTTTTGTTTTCTAAGGGCTGTCCCTATAATGATGCTGTCTGAGGCATTTGCCTCAGGCAGCATCTCATTGGCGGGTTTCTGGTTGGTGGGGGTGTGGCAGGGGGCGGCCACAGCATCCCAGGTTGCTAAGAGCTCTTAGCAGCTTGTGACGCTCTGTGCCGCTCAGCTCGCTGACGTCACCGGTTGCAAAATCTGCTTTAATGCAAATAAATAATTCCCTGAAGTCTCCTCAGAATGCTCAGTATTGATCTCCTAGTCTTCCCCTGTGCTCAGTAGTTCTTGCCACCAAAGTAAGGGGATGAGTTCTCTGTATTACCCTTGCAGTGGGGCAACCCCCGCACTGCAAGGGTTAAATGCTTGTTTTGTCTAGGGGACTCAAACGTTTTACTTACCTAATCCTTGGTCCTGTAGGCTCCCTCCAGGCTGCCTGAGCAATCCCTGCAGCAGATCCACGCCTTTGCTCTGGTGGTCTAAGGACCACTGACATCATCACGTCTTATACAGGTCCATTGACCTGCATTAGACATGAGGACACTGAAGGGCATTCCATAGCCAGAGTGTAGGGAAAGAGAAGTGAGAACTGGAAAAGGGCCAGGTCAGTAAAACAGCTTTGAGTCCTCTAGACTTAAGGGGAGTTCTACTTTACCATTTTATCTGGGTAACAATAAAGCCAATAAAGCCTTTCTTTTAGACTTTGGTACAAAACAAGTGATCCCATTGCTATAGTTACATTCTTGTTTGGGGTTCTGGTATGAGTCACAATTGTGGATGAGAATCTCCATTAAAAGTAATATTGCTATAATTCAATTGCAGGCCATGTGTACAGGATCTATTACTGGTCTCGTCATCAAAGCCTTTGCCCACTCTCATTTCTGTCTTATCTTCCAGCTTTTCTGGGCCACCATCAACATTCTGTATATCTCATTGTAAAGTCAAAGACATTTCATACAGGGCATGTACTAAAATATTAAATGCTTCCTTAATAAAGCAGGGCTGCAATGCGACGCAGTAAAGTGAACACTTTCTCCAGAAGACAAAAATATTTTCTTTACGCTTGTACGATGTGTTTTTTTTAAAAATCTCATACTTTTGTCTTCAGGCTCATGATCGGAAACAGTAAAGTTCCCTGAGCACTTAATGAAGGTCGGTACCAATAGCAAAGCTCCACCAGCATTGCTTGAAGATTAAAGTTTTGATTTGTATAAGATTTTAGCATACCAATTAGCTGTGTGGTATCTGAGCAGTCTGCTTCCACTTCCTCCTGGAATAAATGTTCCCAAAGAATTGGTGGGTTAGGAAAATACTGTTGTAAAATAAATGTTGATATA